CTGTTCTGTTTCTCTCTCTTTTCCTCTCGTTCTCCACTCCCTTCCTTCCTTCCTTCCTTCCTTCCTTCCTTCCTCTCCGACTCAGCTGTTCTTCCGGTATTCTGCCTTGCGTGATACAGATTGTCTTTCCGCGTGAAAACACTACAACCAGTGCACAACTACTAATTTCATCTTGACGGATTAATTTCAAACTGATGAGACACACCAAGGAAACAAACAACGCAGAGAATCGCAACGACACGCGTATAAGCCCCCCCCCCTTCCCACCAAACCAACTCGTCCCGCGAAAGCGTGCACGGGCAAGCCGATCGGGAATCGCCGATTCAGAACCGCATTTCTCAGCCAGGCGTAACCGGCCGGAATGCGCGATATCACCACCACACCGCTGGGCGGGTATTATGCACGCACACACGGAGCTTTTGATCGATTTTAGCCGAGCTGTGAATATTCGCACGTAAACCGTTACGATGATCACTTACATGTATATACACAGCGAAGGAATATAGCATTGAAGGTGAGGATCGAGAAACAGAAAAGTTTATGCTGTGATTGCTGTTGCAGCCGATGTCACTGCTACTTGCCCACAATCCTCACAATCATCTTTAGTAACCCGCGAATTAGGCATGATTAAATAATTACCGGACGGCACTCCTCGTCGCCTCGCGTCCGCGTTTTGTGTGTCACGATCACCCGTCGCTGACGTTTGTGATCTGTGATGATTTGCGACACATACGTCTCAGTCACTACTCGATTCTCTTTCTCACTCTAAGTACCGACAAGTCAACTACTCGTTCTTACGCGTTAACGCGCGTCGCGACACCTCTCCCGTCCACTGCACATCTAGCACCGATCGCATACATGTATGTCAACAGCTGTCATGCTGATGATGTTGACGCAAACAATGCAATCAATGCAACCGAGATGCTACATGATAATAATGTCGAAGAAACAAATGCGTAAAGTGATACAAATCAAACAAGAGAAACCCGTTCTTCACTTAAGGGTCTACTGGAGTAACAGTCCAAATATGGAATGATCTTAGAGACCTCCTATGGGAAAAGTGCGAAACTTCTAAATCAAAATTGATAAAAGCCCAATGTCGATAAAAAGTTGTCCAATTTATGTATAAATTGTCTGTGAATCAATAGGTTTGTCGCGTTGCTTGCCCCATTTGCTCCAATATGCTCCATCTATAGTATACGTAATGCCCGTATTTGACTACATAGTGTAGATTAAGATTGAAGATTGAAGATTGAAATTTGACCAATCAAAACAAAGAACTTTTAGCTCCTTTTGTATTGATTGGTCAAATTTCAATCTTTAGGGTAAAGTCCCATAGAGCTACCGTATGGCGTACCCATTGAGATATATAACATACTGGAGAGCACCTTCTCATAAGAGCCAATGTAGTTTTTGGTACAAGGCATGGGAGTGAGACAAGATCTATAGAGAGAAGGTTACCTCATGCGCAAAGAGGGACAAGCGGCAAGAGGGGCTAATGCTGTGCGGGGCGAGCGGCAAGAGGGGCAAATGCTGAGCGGGACGAGCGGCAAGAGGAGCAAATGCTGAACAGGGCGAGCGGCAAGAGGGGCAATGATCTCATCGTCAAACAGTAGCTGTCTCTCTCGCACGCTTTAGTGTTTTCTCTCTCGCTCCTTGAATATAGAAATGCTTTGAGTTTTTATCGAAAAAATACTTTTATTTTGTAAAATATTGATAGCACTGAAAATTGCGTAATAAAAATTGAAAAGTAAATTAGAAAGGCGCTATAAATTACATATATTGCAAATTATAGCGCTAAATATTTAACGTTTATAATGTTAAATATCGCTGCAACAGATGCATTTGTAATACAAATTGCTTTGTACTCGTATTTAGACTGTAATATCAATGAAAATAAAATATAATTTGGGGATATACACAAAAAACATCATTTGTAAAGTAGTAAAATAAAAGAAAAAATAGTACATATTTAAAAATTATTTTTAAAATAATATTTACTGTTTATATGCATTATTTACAAAAGAAATACTATAAAGAAATTTATTTTTATATTTAATTGTGAAAACCTCAAAAATTGTCAAGAAATTGTAACTGAAATTCATAAATGTAAGTACAATTTTAGGATAATATAAAAAGCATCATACACAAATTTATTATGATACAAACTTAAATAATGAAATTGTAATATATGTTTCAATATTGCAAATGTGAATATTTATATGATAAAATTTACAAAGTGTTAACAATTTTCAAATATTTGCTAATAAAATATTATTGAAATGTTTCTGTTAAAATCTTAAAAATAATTCTTTAAAACAAATATGATGGGGTATATATTAGAGATCATTAAATATGCGGCAACATTGTGATTATAAAATTTTATAAGTATCTATAATAAAAATTAAGTATAATAAATATAATAAGTATATAAGTATAATAATAAAATTTTTATAAGTATCTATAATAATAAAAATACATATATGTTGTATTAATCTGTTAATATAAAGAAATTTATTTGCGTTAAATTAATTAATAATTTTTTTATATTAACAGATTAATACAACATATATGTATTTTTATTATTATAGATACTTATAAAAATTTTATTATTATACTTATATACTTATTATATTTATTATACTTAATTTTTATTATAGATACTTATAAAATTTTATAATCACAATGTTGCATATTTAATGATCCCTAATATATACCCCATCATATTTGTTTTAAAGAATTATTTTAAGATTTCAACAGAAACATTTCAATAATATTTTATTAGCAAATATTTGAAAATTGTTAACACTTTGTAAATTTTATCATATAAATATTCACATTTGCAATGTTGAAACATATATTACAATTTCGTTATTTAAGTTTGTATCATAATAAATTTGTGTATGATGCTTTTTATATTATCCTAGAATTGTACTTACATTTATGAATTTCAGTTACAATTTCTTGACAATTTTTGAGTTTTCACAATTAAATATAAAAAATAAATTTCTTTATAGTATTTCTTTTGTAAATAATGCATATAAACAGTAAATATTATTTTAAAAATAATTTTTAAATATGTACTATTTTTTCTTTTATTTTACTACTTTACAAATGATGTTTTTTGTGTATATCCCCAAATTATATTTTATTTTTATTGATATTACAGTCTAAATACGAGTACAAAGCAATTTGTATTACAAATGCATCTGTTGCAGCGATATTTAACATTATAAACGTTAAATATTTAGCGCTATAATTTGCAATATATGTAATTTATAGCGCCTTTCTAATTTACTTTTCAATTTTTATTACGCAATTTTCAGTGCTATCAATATTTTACAAAATAAAAATATTTTTTCGATTAAAACTCAAAGCATTTCTATATTAAAGGAGCGAGAGAGAAAACACTAAAGCGTGCGAGAGAGACAGCTACTGTTTGACGATGAGATCATCATGCTCTCCCCTTCCTTTGTCGCCTCTCGCCAACAAGCTGTTTCTAGCTCCCCCCTTACTTCGTCGCCTCTCGCCTACAAGCTGTTCTAGCTCCCCCTTACTTCATCGTCCCTCGCCCACAACCGGTTTGCCTGAGGTAACCTTCTCTCTATAGATCTTGGGTATCAATATCGTTATGTTATCGTTGCGCAGATAGATCGTAAAAAAGGTAATGTACCATCGCTAAGAGATACAGACTCCCGCTACAGGAACTATATCTCTTCTAATAATCATCACTCGTCCTAAAATCCACAGATTTTTTGAAAAATGAACGTAACGGAGAAGCAGAAACAACTTCTTGTTAATTTTATGCGGTCTTATCCTGATTTTGGAAAAGGTAGATTGCGGTATAACCGCGAAAATAAAAAAAAATTAGTAAGTAATTTTGTAAGTTGTTTTATTATTAATATCAAATAAAATTTTATTTTTACTAACACTATAAATTATAAAAATAAAAAATTGCAAATAAAAATTACAAATGAATATAATGTAATATACTTTTTTATAGGACGAATTATGGGAAGAATTAGCAACAATTCTCAATTGTGCAGGTTGCGGTCCTCAAAAATTGCCAATAAAAGCATCATCCTCTTCATCAAGTAATAAAATAGCAGCCATGTACATAGCCATTTTTCGAGCTTTTGAGAATTCAAACAAAATAATGATAATAAAATAAATAAAATAATAATAAAAATAAAATAAAATGATATTTATACTTTAAATATACTTACAATAAAAAAGCTACTTAACCTTAAAATTATAAACAGATACAATTATAAACAGTTACAAATCACATCTATGAAATTGTCACGACGCTATGGTTTCTCTCTCGTTTCTCAGTCTTTTTCACTCGAATCTCACCATTTGACAAGAAATTTCTTGCCGAACAAACTCCCGTGAGATAGCACACATTTTCACTATGATGAAAGTTACTGAATCGCGCGAGCTACTCACTTTTCGCATTTTCACTATATTTTAGATACAGGGTTTGTTCGTTTTAGCTACACTGGGGCTGCTCTGGGTCTGCTCTACACAGGATAATACAGGACAGATAAATAGTTTGTCCTGTATTATATTAGGTCTGTTTTTTATAGCTGAACTGGCTGCACTAGTTCAGAGTTTATCTTTTTCCCTCCACATTAGAAGGAAAAAGATAAACTCTGAACTAGTACAGCCAGTTCAACTATAAAGAACAGACCTCTTGTTTAGAGCAGACCCAGAGCTGCCCCAGTGCAGCTAAAACGAATAAGCCTACAGAATCGACCCCCTGGTCTGTTTGAGCCATCAGTGTACACTTTCTGAACTAGTGCAACTAGTTCAGCTAAAAAGAACAAACTTATTGTGTGATATTCAGTGTGTGGACTTGCGGAGCCCTGTAATCGAAATAGCATCACTGGGTATCACCCTACTTCGGAAGGACTCCTCTCAGGCTTCTTTGTACATGACAGTTGAATTCGCCATTAGCGTGTGAAGTGTGTTATGAAGCGATAAGTGACGTCGCAGTCAGCTGATCGTGCGAAGTTGCCTGCGAATGGCAGTCAGTCCTCTTTTGTCGTAGAACAACTTTCTCGTAGCAATTTTCATTAGTGTTTCTTGCACGGCAAGGTTTTGTTTCAGTTTTCTCGTCGAAATCTTTATTTAGTTTTTCCCGAAGCACTTTTCCACGATTGCTTGTGTGACGAAAAAATCTCGTCATGGGGCTCGTTTGCTCAACAGCTCAAGTAAGATGATTCAGACACTATATTCGATTCATTCTTTTTATATAGATATTTCTCCGTCTCTCGCTGAAAAGAACTACGCATTTTTTAAGATTACTAATAGTTGATCATAATTACACCATGATTGCAGCTGTGTTCCATTATTGATTTCAGAAATAGTCACTAGTTATTTTCGTTTTATTGCGCGTTTTCTATGAATAAAGAAGCCTTATATTTAATCCTTTTCTTAGAATATGTTTAAGCAAATTTTAATTTTACGTTACTACATATGATAAAAAATTGTACGGATTAACAAATTATCAAATATCTATAACATCAACATTAATTAAACTAACATCAATTCATTAATTGTATGTGTATATATTAGAAATCGAAGGATGTGCAAATACTATTTAAAAAATTTTTTTAGTATAATGGAAATAATATAATATAAAAATAAATAACATATTTGGAATGTTTATTATTGTATATTTTTGTTTTACTTATTTATAAATTTCATGAAATTTGCGTACTACATATAATATTTTTTTTTATCAGCTTGCGTGTTTATGCGGAAGCACAGCTTGTAGCTTCTGTTGCTCTCAATGTCCATCATGCAGGAACAGTACAAGTACTCGCATCATGTATGCGTTGCTTTTGTTGTTGGGAACTATTGCAGCCTGTATTACTTTAGCTCCTGGTCTTCAGAATGCTCTTAAAAAGGTAATGTTAAAAATAATCTTAGTAATTATAATCATATTAATATTCTCATATTTGAACAGGTTCCATTCTGTGCAAATAGTTCCAATTATGTTCCATCAGATTTTACCTTTGATTGTGACTCTGCAGTTGGTTACTTAGCAGTCTACAGAATATGTTTCATTCTCTCTTTGTACTTTTTCTTGATGTCTGTAATAATGATCAGAGTTAAAAGTTCACGAGATCCGCGAGCAGCCATACAAAATGGGTAAGTTAAATTATCATATTAGGGATAGCTCAATCTAATCAATCATTAATTAAAATTATTACATTTACATAAAATTTTCAGATTCTGGGCAATCAAGTATCTTTTGATAATTGGAGGAATTGTTGGTGCTTTCTTTATTCCGGAAGGGTCGTTTGGACCTACTTGGATGTATTTTGGGATGTTAGGAGGTTTACTTTTTATAATTATTCAATTAATTCTCATTGTTGATTTTGCTCATTCTTGGGCTGATGCATGGGTAGGAAATTATGAAGAAACTGAATCAAAAGGATGGTAAGAATTCTTTTTATTATAACGCAAATATGATTATGCATTAGATTATGTTGTTTGATTATCTTGTTATTGATACATGAAATATTTGTAGGTATTTTGCACTGCTGGCTACAACTCTCTTGAATTATAGTATTTCTATTGCTGGAGCGGTATTACTTTATATATATTATACACATGTAAGACAACTAATTATATTTATTATTATCTTTATAATAGATTTACATACATTTGCTTTAACATAAAATTTAACTATTTATTTGTTTTTTGATTATAGGCAAATACATGTGCTCTCAACAAATTTTTCATTTCATTTAATTTGATTTTGTGCGTCATCACTAGTATTATATCAGTTTTACCAACTGTACAAGAACATCAACCAAGATCTGGGCTTCTTCAGTCTTCCGTAGTAACATTATATGTGCTATACTTAACATGGAGTGGTATATCAAATAGTCCAGGTAGATATATTCAAGAAGATAAATTATTAAGTTATAATGATATAATGTTTCATATTTTTTTAACTGTTATTTCTTTAACTTATAGATCACGAGTGTAATCCTGGCATGCTTGGTATACTTTCTCGTAAAGATCATGTCGCATTTGATAAAGAAAGTATTATTGGACTTATAATCTGGTTTAGTTGCGTTCTATACAGCTCTTTGCGTACAGCATCTAAATCATCGAAAATTACAATGTCTGAAAATATATTGGTTCAGGACAATGGAGCTGGTAAATATAAATTTAATAATAATACATATCTGCGTACTGCATGATTTACACATTTTTGGAACCGTATTTTTTTGAATATTTTAGTTTATAGGATTATTTTTTGTGTCTATTGATATCAGTACTTTTTTATGTTGTCCATATACATATACAGGGATGTTCCATAATTTGCGAATCAAGATGTAGCATAAAAATTCTCAAAATAAAAATAAAAAAGTGTTTTACTATTTTTTAAACCAAGTAACAATTTTTGAAATATAAGAGTTTAAACATTGGCCAATTAAGCTCTATGGTTAAGTGGTTGTTTATTCTTAAATCACATCAATACTGTCATATAATACAGGGAACAAGCTGTTTAACTATACAGTCTGATTGGTCAGTTTTAAATCTTCATATTTCAAATACTGTTGCTTGGATTGGAAAATCGTAGAATTTTTTAATTTTGTTTTTTGAGAACTTTAATGCTATAACATCTTGATTTGTGAATTATATACGGGACACTTTGTATATTTAATCTGATAAAAAATAGGGTGGTTTTATTAAATATGAATTTTTCTATAGTCAAGAATGCAGGAGAGCAGTCTCTTATCAGCAATGAAGGTAGGCACACACTATATGAGTAAAATTCATCTTAATCATAAACTCTCGATTATTTACATTTATCAAGTTAAGAAATATTTATTTATTAAATAGATTCTGTTAAATAGATCTATTATCATCTATTACAGTGCTCGGAATTAGTCTGAACATTTCAGTCGATTTCCGTGGTATACGCCTCCTTTCCTCTCCTTACCGCGCGCGCCGCAGCCGCTAGGGCCAGCGCCGCCGAGCGTTAGGAGCGGCACTATCTGATTAGGTTCTATGAGTAGGTTCTTCTCCCTATTTATTAAAATTTAAAAATTATTAAATTATTAAAATAAATTTTTTTAAATTTATTAAGTGGAAATATTTCAATAGATTTC